TATTTTCGATTCTGTCTTATTGACTTGGAAGGATGCCGTTTTGAAGGCGTCTTCTCATCAGTAGCCCGGTTTTAATGTGATCACATATCTTGGCCCTTCTGATCTAGACATCAAGTTGTTGCTGGTGTATTGTTTTTAATAAAGCCGCAAATCAAAGTGTTTTGGCACTCTTGTATTTGAAAAAATTTCTAATCTACTCGTTTACTCTCGACGCCTACCTCGAGACTACTACAATGGTCGCTAGTATGGCGGGTACTTGCGGCTTTTTAATTATGTTGATGCAAATGAAAGAAGCCTTCCAAGTAGGACACTTCAAGATTGCTTTGATACAAAATACTCTTATATTTCTGGTATACCAAAACTTTTCCACAAATTGTAACATCCCATTTATTTGTAAGTCGTCCAGCTACCAATGACTTAGAACCCCCCCTACAATCTGTCCTTAGGCACACATTTTCATTGACACCAAACTTTAACTTTAGACGAACATCCGCATCAAACGAACTCTTGCCAGACAACTCTTGAGTTGTATCAATTCTAGTGTAGTTGTATCATACCACGCCATTAGCAATCCGCCAAAGCCTAACTGTCCATAACAGTAATACCAAGCGCTATCAGATAAGCCATTATGTCATTGCCCCAACTTAGCTTTCTCAGTTTTTAAGTTGTAAAAGTTCCCTATGCGAAGAAAAGTTGGGTTCCGAGGAACCTCTTGTTTCATGATTGTTGAGCTTACTTCCATTTTAAGTGAAAGCGTTTGGTGAAGAGATTCGAAGGTCGACTCCACCAGACGACGGAATCCTCTTAACCAGCTGTCGATTGGCTTTATTTGAAGTTTCATGCTGACGCTTTTTCCGAGGCAATCTCCTTCGATTTAGGTGAAATAGTGCTAAGCTTTCGTCCGTCATCGGACGAGCCTCACCAGAGCAAGGTATCATCGTCACAACCAAATGCAATCTAGAGAGTCAAGAAAACTTGTGTGCTAATTCCCAAATGTGATTGTTCTGCTTGATTTGAATAGGCTCACTATGGAGGAACAATGGGAAACCAAGAGGAAATGTCCACAGTGAGCCTATTCAAATCAAGCAGAACAATCCCATTTGGGAATTAGCACACAAGTTTGCTTGACTCGTTAGCTTAAAGTTGGTTGTGACGATGCCACCTTGCTCTGATGATGTCCGTCAATTAACGGACGAAAGCTTTGCACCTTTTCTCCGGAATCTAATAAGATTGCCTCGGAAACAGCGTCAGCATGAATCTTCCAGTAAAGCCAATCGACAGCTGATCAAGAGGAATCTGCAGTCGTCTTCTGGTGGAACCGACCTTCGAATCTCTTCACTCAACACTTTCACATGAAATGGAAGTAAGCTCAACATTAAAAGTTCCAGTCAACTTAGGTAGTATTGGGCGATGAGAAACTAATAGGTGACTTTGTCCACAATGATGTGAGTAGTTTTGCAAGCCTACTTTGTCTGAATTCCAATTTGTAAATTTAAACAAACACCATGAGTGAACCTTTTAAAATCAGGAAATCCCATTTTAGCGGCACTTCATTTATTAGGAAGGTTCTCCAGACTACTAATTGCATCCTGTTAAAAGCGTCTGATCAATGTGTCAACAAGATTTGTACCTGTAAAAACGGCATGGAGCACTTGAACGCACTAATATATTTATGCGTGACGTTAAATAGGTCAAAATTCATTAAAATGGGCCTATGAAGAGACATAATTGCTCGAGCTGTATCCAGGCTTAGGCAAAGATAAGACATGTTTAGCATTGCATGGAAGCATCTAGAATGTACTGTATTCTGCATTCTGTGATGGGAAAACGTCTACTTGGCGGGCAGGTAATTCTTAAAAAATTCGATTTTATTTTATTGCAAGAGATTTCCTGATAATTTTTATGCCAGAACATAGGTTCTCCAGGTCATCTTTCTTACAATGCCTTAAGTAGGCCGCATGGTGACCTTGAATTTCACATGGACTTGCCTCTTAAAAAGTATTTCTCTTTTACGATGATCTTTAGCTTGCTGAAGCCTGCTCATAACATAGTTGGAAACACACCATTATCAGTCCTTACTGATATATTGACACTTTCGAAAAATAATAACATTCAATACAATTTTGCTGTAATTATTGTGAGACTGTGTAGTCTAACATAAAGGTCTTTTTAACCTGGTTACATCGTATAAAAGTGTTAAAGGGTTAGTGTCCCTTCGTGAAGTTGATGCCAGCCGTCTAACTCGTTATACTCAGACGCATTTGGTGCTAAAACAGCATGTCCGCTTTTTGGGATATCGAAGAAAGTCCAAGTTCCTTATAATTCTGAATTAGGAGAGCCATTCTTGGGATGCATTTAACATTGAGCTTATGCAGCGAAATCACGTCTTCTCTTAAACCCGATACTTTTAACATCGCTAGCATGAATTTATACGATGAATGCAGTTGCAATAAGGCTATGGCCCTTATGAGGTGACAGCCTTTAGTATACATCAGGTCTCATCTTCCATTGACAGCTCGATTCCAATAGTAGGAAACTTCTGCAATTTTTCCTGGTTGTACGATCGTCGAAACGAACTCTCAATCAACTGCTATTCAAAACTACCAGTTGATCTTGTCTGTATATTTTTTCACTACAATCAACCAACTTACTTATATTCGTATTGAGTAGGTCGCAAGGCCGCCAGTAGATCTTAACTAAGAGCTGTCTTCCCCTTAGGTCGCGCAATGTAATGAAGGACTAGTTGCTTAAGTTTTTCATAGCCAGACCAGTGGGCCTCAGGTTTTCATTGAATTTAACTTCCTAAAAGATATTCTCATTCTGGAAGAATTTGAACTATTTGGGCTTTTATTAGCGCCGCGGACTCGAAATCGGGTAGTGTTGCGTATACATTCGACTTGTTGCTACTACGTCGCACTGTCACGAGTGTCCTTAGGTTACAAAATAGATGTGAATTTCAAGGACTACCGATATTTTTTCCATATCAAATCTTTGTCATTGGTCGGTAGATGAAGCAAACCTGTATTTGTTACTATAATCAACTACATTGCTCATATTCCTACTAAGTAGGCGTCGAAATTACCAGAAAATCTTGAAGAATAGCTGCCTATGTAGAATGTTCATGCACATTTCGCACGCAATTAAAGCAGATACTTGAATTCGCGACCCCCTTTACAGGGGTCCCACCATTATTTCTATCCCAAATGTCGGTCTTCAAAGCAGAAATCAAACTCAGTTCATGTGCATCCAGGGCCAGACATATGCCTTCTCCACCACACGATGTGTTGCCAAGTCGAAGATGCAGCTGCCAGCCAAGCTCATACATTTTCTGGACCGGAAAGCTGTGCTATTCTGGGCTAGCTACCAAGCCGACTCAAGATCTCCCGTCAATTAAAGCCTGAAAGTGGATACCGTTTAGCGTGTCATCGACACCTGTAGTCTGGTGTTTCATTCGTTCATTCTCTAGTCACCAACCCTCACTGATCAATATTTTACATTCTATCCTACCTACAAATGGGAGTATTATTTTTACTACTGCGAATAGTATTATTGACATAACACTCTGATTAATGAACTCTTTTTTCCCATTGCCTTTAATGTCACCATAAATGTCTAACCCATATGCTCAGCTTGTATAATTTATTATGCATAATTTTATGTCTTTTTTCAAAGGGCATCCTGGAGCTGTCATCCGCTTGCTTCCGAATCAGCCTACCTTCGCCACGTAAGAAAGTTCGTTCTTTCTCTTCTGATAGGAAAAGTAGGCGGCTACGGACAACACCGTGTTATGTAGGGATTCTCGGCCAATGGCTCTATTCCCCGATGGGCCGTATTTGACACACCCGCCTCGTGTTCGAGTCCCGTCGGAGGTGCGTATGAGGCCGGGGCGGGGCTAAAACTGCAGGAGAAGACTGTTTGTAAGGTACTCCTCGTATCACATGCTCACAAGTTTAGATATAACAATCACTGTCGGCCCCAACGCTCCCTTCTACCGGTCCCCCTCAAGTGATGCCCCTCGAGCCCCCTCAACATGGGACCTCAAAGCGCTACCACGTCCACAGAACATTATGCCCCAGGACGCCTGATAGAATTAAGTTGATCGGCGTTTCAATGACGACAGTCGCCAACCCTCCAATAAGTAGTCAAAACCGAGGATTTCGATGTAATCAAATTGTTTCTTTTTGCAACTGAGTGACACCATCGATCGAGTGACATGCTTACAAGGAATGTGAGAGATGTCAAAAGCTGATCATTCCCTCTTCCGTCCATCTATCCGCAGGACAAATGGGCAGGCCAGTAG